TTCCTCTGCTCCTGAACGTGGCTTGGGGTGACAGGAGGGGAACTTCAGAGTAGTGGAGAAGCACCAGCCTTTCCCCAGCATTTCTTCTCTCTAATTTGGTGTACACCTAACACTGACTTTTTTCCCCCACCTTTGCTTTTGCAGGCAGCCCTCGGTCAGGCTTTCAGCCCTCTGTTTCTGGTAGCACCTGAGCAGATCATGCCTTGGCTGCACGAGTACCACGACCACTGTGAAGAGATTCTTGGAGACATCAAGTGAGTGTTCTGTGTGGAGAAATGTCCTTGGTCCTTATTCAAGGCAAACCCCTGTCATCCATTTCCCCACTCCTTAGTTGGAGGTGACTCTGACTCCTTCCACTGCCTGTAGAACAATGATATGCAGTTTGCAGGGAGCAGGATAGGGTTTGTTACTCAGTTGTGCTGCTTAATAGAGGCTTACCCTTGGCTGTAAGAAAATGGAGTTGGGCAAATAGAGTATTTGATAGTGGGGTGGAAGTGATTGGATGAGTTACTGGGATGCCAATGAGGTAATAGCTCTTGCACCAAAGCAAGAGGTAATACAGGTCACCAAGGCACTGAACTGAGACTGAAAAACAGGAGAAATCAGCTGCTTAAAGAGAAAATCAGGTTTTATTTTGTACCTGTCCTTAATTATCTCTCTTTCCCTCTCTCACAGAATGATTCCTTCTCAGTCTCTTGTGAAAGGCTGTGAGAACTTCAGACCCAAAGCCAAGGAGTTTGTGAGCTCTCTGTTGGAGAGCTACGACCTGGCTGAGGTGAGTTCCTGAGCTGAGGGGCTCTGTGGCTGGAGGGGACCTGGAGTCTAACACTTGTATCTCTGTTCAGTTTCAGACCTGTGAAGTCCAACACTGTAAAAATGCTTTTGCATGTTCAGTGATCCACAAGTCTGGCTGGAAAGTAGTTTATTCTGGTGATACAATGCCCTGCATGGCCTTAGTGCAAATGGGTAGGTAACAAAACCCTCTGCTGGAAGAATCTCTTGGAGAAGGGTCTCCATCTGGCATTATCCAAAGTGGGCACTCCCAAACCTTTGGTGCTCAGCAGGGGGCTGAGGAGGGACAGGAGGGCTCCTGTGGGCAGTTGGGCTGGTCAGTCTTCAGCTGAAGATTGAATATGTGATTGTCTGCACAGGTAAAAATGCCAACCTGCTGATCCACGAAGCCACGCTGGAAGATGGCATGGAGAAAGAAGCTATAGAGAAGACCCACAGGTGGGTGTGTCCTGCTGTCTGTCGCTGTTGGGAAGGGAAAGGTGCACAGCTGGGAGCTGGTGAAGGGCCCAAGTCCTCTCAAAGGTTCTGGTGTGTGTAGAGCTCTTCTGCACTAAAGATGGGGTGTTGGTCATTGCAGCAGCTCTGAAACCACCACATCTCTCAACATCCCCAAAAGAAATGGGGAAAGCTTTCAAGCAGACATTGGTAACTACAAATTGACCAGCAGGGAAAGACCCTCTGCATGGTTGTATCTTGGGACTAAGCTCAGGAGGTAGAAGAGTCATCTCATCCCCACAGCTCACTGAGAGCACTGCAGCCAGGGGTTCCACGTGCTGCCCCAGCAAACGTGGGAGACTGAGAGCAGCTGCTCACAATTCCCTGTGAGTCACAGTGCAAGAGCTGGGCCTCTTGGCACCCCTGGGACAAGTGCCTGTCCCCAGGTTGTGAAACTCTTACATACAAGGCTCCAACAATTACAGCTGCATTCCTGCACTCAGGGTTGTGTGGAAGTCAGGGAATTGCCTGAGGGAGAGGGGCCTGTGCCTGTGAGGTCACTTGGTGTGGTGTGACCCTGGGTGCAGAGCAGCAGTACCTGCCAGCCTGGCTGTGACCTGGCTGTTCCTTTTGCAGCACGACCTCCCAGGCCATCCAGACTGGGATGAAGATGAATGCAGAGTTCATCATGCTCAATCACTTCAGCCAGAGGTACGCCAAGATCCCGCTGTTCAGTGAGGACTTCAGCGAGAAGGTCGGCATCGCCTTCGACCATATGAGGGTAAGTTGGGAGCTTGGGGCCAGGCCTGGGAATGGTGTCACTGTTATTATGGGATGGCTGCTCATGAATTAAATGCTCCTCTTGTACTGTATCATTACTTCATCTCCTGAAGAGCAATCTCTGAAACAGCTCCTTTAACTGCTGGCAGCAGATAGCCTGTGCCTCCCTTGCTCCACACCAGTGTGAGACAGGTGTTGATGGCCCTCGAATCCAGCTCTTAACACACTGGGTACTTGCCTCGTGTCACCTCAAGACTGTGCTTGCTACTCCCCGCCAAAAAACCTAATTTTCCTTCCATTCCCATCCCAAGTGATGAGCTGCATCAGTGGCTTTCTGTAGCAGACATCTGAGAGACAAAAGCTGGCTGAAGGCACTTGTGGTAGTGAGGGCAGCTCACTGTCAGAATTTGTACTGGGCCATACCATTTCTGTGAAGAAAACATCAATAACTTGTTGAGGTCAGGGCTGCTGGATGCAGGTTCTGGACACAGGAAGGGGCAGTTGATGGCTAAAGAGGCTCCCTGGAGCAGAGGCTGGGCAGTGCTGAAGGAATAAAGCAGGGATTTATTCCAAGCCCTTCCAAGGATTCACCTTGGGCACTGCAAGAGCCCGGCCGTGGCTCCAGCCAAGATGGAGCCAAGGTGGATCCGAGTCACGAGTTCTCACACTTGGATCACTTGGGCTCCATTTCCATCTTGGCCTTCATTGTCCAATCCCAGCTCCAGCTTCTGCAGTGCCATCCTCCCACATTCTCTCCTCCAGTCGCTGCTCTTTGCACTTTTTGGGGCTGAAGCTGCAGCGCTGTCCTTGGTTGTGGGGCTGGCAAAGGATTGTTTTGTGTGCCTGAGCTGGGAGGAGAACTTGCTGACACTTTGGATGGAGTTCAGAGTCACACACCAATGCAGTGCAGAGTGTGGAAAATATGAAAGCTAAAACGTAAGGCAGCAAAGTGCCCTGCTGTCTGCACAGGCCAAAGGGAAGGGGGAGCAAGGACATCAACCAGCAGTTCTCAAACAGGAGCTCCTGTGTTTGTGTTCCAGGTCCGTTTCGGTGACTTCCCGGCCATCCCGAAGCTGATCCCGCCCCTGAAGGCTTTGTTTGCAGACGACATCGTGGAGATGGAGGAGCGGAAGGAGAAGCGGGAGATGCGGCTGCTGAAGGAGACTGCCCTGGTCCTGGACAAACTGACCAGGGGGGACAGCACGGAAGCAGCATGCCAGAAAAGGAAACAAGCCAAGAACCATCAGGAACTGCCAGACAAGAAGCTTAAAACAGTCAACTGAGAGGGCCAAGACTGGGAGTACTCTGCTCTGAGAGAGAAGCCTGGCTGTCCACAGGCCTCGGGAGCGTGCTGTGCTGCCAGCACCACGGGAGAGGGGCTGGCCTGGGCATCTGGGTTTGCTTGGTCACCATGGATCTCCCTGGGCTGCAGCTCCATGGGCTGTCAGCAGCACTGGTACTTGTGGAGTCAGGATCTGCCCACATAGCTCCTGTTCTGGGGGCTCTCCAGTCTATGGAGCATTCTTTTAACCAAAAAAATTCTTCTCTCTGAACTGTTTTAATTTTGGGGTTTATGCTACAAGGTATTGATAATGTAACAGCAGCAGGTGTGACCTTTGCAAGGGATCAGGTGTGAGAGGCCCTGGAGGGGCTGTGGGTTTGCCAGAAGAAGGTGGGCTGGTCTCAGTGAAGGGACTCATAACCAGCGATCAGAACCCAGGGGATAGGAGGAAAATTAACAGTAAAATGGGACCCAATTTTAGGGTTTTAGGTTAAATTAGAGGTGAGGCTACATCTGTACATCGGTGTTCCCATTTTATTTTGGTTTTCTTTGCTGTTTTTTTATTTCAAAAGATCAGTTTTCCAAACCCTTTATTTAGAATATGAATAAACCACTTGCCATCCTCCAGAAAGCTGTGTTGTGGCTGGATCACTAATGAGGAAACAAAAACCTAGATTTCTCTGGTGAACGACCTGGGCTGGCTGATTCAGCTTTGGGTAAAGACCAAGATCTTGCCCATCAAATCTGGATCATGCTGGAGCCTTATGGCTGTGAGTGTCCTTGAGTAGATTCTAGTTCTGGATGCAGGGGCCAGGAAAGCTGGCACAGCAGGCAGAGAGGGGGGAGGTCTGTGGTTAAAAGTTTTTCTGAGGCTTTTTGTGGGTTAACTTTACTTCTACCCTTGCCACTGCTGTCACTGCCTGTGTTTGGGAGTAGGAGGAGAGTTCTGTGCTGTTTCAATTAAGGAGTTCATTTTTGCAGGCAACTTAAAAGACACCCAGGCCCAGCTCAGGAGATGACACTTGCATATAAGTCTTAAGACTTCATTTTAAGTTTATAGGAAATTAAGGGACAAACTGTCAGCAAAGCAACTTTTGTTGATGAGCTATGCTTTAGTGTTATGCTTGTCTACAGCAGAGACTGGAGAACTGGCACATCTGTGCCCTCCAGAAAAGGTCTGCTGGGCTTTTAGGAATAGCAGGGGCCTGGGGAAAACAAAATGTTCCTGTTACTGGAGCGGGCTGGGGTGACAAGGGGAGGACCCTAGTTACTGCTGGGACTGCACAGGATCCGTGTGCTCCTTTCCATGGAATTAAAGAAGGATCTTTTATTTGAGAAATGGTGAACTGCTTCTCACAGAGGGTGTTAATGAGGTGGAAATGCAGCGGTGCAGGAGCCCGCAGCACCCATATTTCATCTTCAGGTGTTTGATGCAGGTGTCGGGAACAGCACGGGGGGGGTGAAGGACTGGAGCTGCCCGTGCCCGATGTGGGAAAATTCCCTCGGGCTGCGCTCTGAGCTTCCCGCGGAGCCAGCCGGGCTGTGACATCGCTTCTGTGGCCGCCCAGCGCTGCCGGGATGAGAGAAACGGGCGGGAGGGAGGCGGCAGCGCTGGGACCGCCCCCGCATCCCGGCGGGACAGGGGAGCGGCTCCCGGGAGTCCCCCGGGCAACGGAGCCGCCGCCTGCAAACACTGAGCGGAGCCGGGCGGATGGAGAGCGGCGGGGATCCCGGGGCAGCGGGGACGGAGGAGCCCCGGGAGGGGTTGGAGGAGCCCCGGGAGGATGTCCCGGAGGAGCCGTGCGCGGAGCGGTTGGCACGGGGCGCTGCCCGGGCTCTGGCCGTGCCCCCGGAGCGCTGGCGGCGCTGGGCGGGCGGCGCGGCGGGGCCGGCGCTGCGCGGGTTCGTGCGGGGCGCGGCGGGGCCGGCGCTGCTCGCCTGGCGGGGCCCGGCCGGGGAGCTGGGGCTGAGCCCCGGGCCGCCCCCGCCGCCCCCCAGCGCCACCAAAGCGCTTTTCTTCCTGCGGCCGCCCGGAGCCCGCCCCGGCCCCGCCGAGCTGCTGTGCGGGGACCTGCCCGCTGAGCCCCTGCCTCACTTCGCCGTGCTGCTGGAGGAGGTAAGGGGGAAACTCCAGAGCCCAATGAAACCTCCTAAATCCCGAGCCATGTGGGGTCCGTGGGGATGATGTTACACAATCACAGGATGGCTTCCTGAGAATGAAAAAGTCTGCTCATCCCATCCCTTGAAGTGTTCAAAGCCAGGGTGGACAGGGCTTGGAGCAGCGTGGGATAGTGGAACTGTCCCTGCCCATGGCAGAGGGTGGGACGAGATGAACTTTAAGGTCCCTTCCAGCCCAAACCATTCTGTGGTTTTAGGATAGTTGGTGCTCCGTGGCACATCTCAGGCAAAGCTGGTCCAAGCCCCTGCTCCAGCCAGGCCACCCAGAGCCAGCTGCCCAGGACCATGTCCAGGTGACTTTTCCGTATCTCTACAGATGGAGATTCCTCCCTGGGCTGCCTGTGCCAGCCCTCACTCACCCTCACCAGGAAAGGGTTTTTCCTGATACTCAGAAGAGCCACCTGCATTGGAGTGCCCAGTTACCTCAGGTGTGCTGACGTTTTCCCAAAGGAATCTTCAAGAGCTTCCATCAGGGGCCCAGTTGTAATTTTAACAATCCAAAAGAATACAAACAGTTGATTTGACTGGTTATGACATTGGGTTTCATTAGCAGTCCATGTGATTTGAGTAAGGGAGACAAAGCCTGATACTATTGCAGCTGAAGCTGTTGAAGGTGAACTCTGTGTGCCCTGGGATTGCTCTTCCTTCTCCCCGGTCATGGTGGTTGCTGCTGCTGGTCCTTTTTGGTCGTGGTGCAAAGAATTTTAAGCACCCTGCAGTGGCACCCTGGTTGTTCCTTTTTCATTCTGTGTCTGTTTGTAGCTGGTTTTTTACCTTTATCCTCCCCAAAGTTTGGCCACATAAAGGCTGCTCATCACCAGGGGCAACCTGGCTCTGATCCCAGAGGAAGGTGACAGATATTGTTGCTGTCCCAGCACAAAAGAGCCAGAAGCAGCTCAGGTCCAAGCAAGCTCAGCCCAGAGGCCCCAGCTGCTGGGTCAGTGCAGACCCTGGAACTTGCACTGATAAATACAGGAACCACATTTAGTGGGCTGCAGCTTTGGGAAACAACCTCAAACGTGGCAATGCTGTAGGTGCCAGGACCTTCCCAGTGCAAATGGGGGGTGGGTGTGCAGGGACAGCCCCTGGGCTCAGCCTGTTCATCATCACCTGCAGGGAACTGCTTGGAACAGTGAGCAATCAGGGTCTCCAGGCTTGCCCAAGCCAGGACCTTGGAGCTGGTGGCCAGTCCATCCATAGTACTTTTTGTCCTAGAATCATCAAATCACAGCATGTTTTGTAGTGGATGGGACCTTAAAGCCCATCCAGTCCCTCTGCCATGTGCAGGGACACCTTCCACTGTCCCAGGCTGCTCCAAACCCTGTCCAACCCAGCCTTGGATGCTTCCAGCCACAGCCTCTCTGGTCACCCTGTGCCAGGACCTCCCCACCCTCACAGGGGACAATTTCTTCCCAAATCAAATCTAAATCTGCCCTCCTTCAGCTCTTCTGCACTGCTGTCCCATGACTCCTGCTGTAGGTGATCGTGCCCATCCTGACGAACAGGAAGAACCATCAGGGCTGGCCACGAGTGGTGTCACAAGACATCATCCATCATGTCCACAGCCTGAAAAACACTGTCTTCAAGGTTGTTGGCCAAGTGAAAGGCAAGACCTTGCTGCCTCTTCCAGCTGCCTCGGAGGGAATTGAGAACATTGATCCTAAAAATGAGAAATTGTGAGTACCAGCCCTTGCTCTCCACTGGGTTTTCTTCTGCTGCTGCATTTGCAGCATCTTTCAGGGATCTGCCCTGTCAGACATGGGGACTGTTCTTGCTCCCTGTCCTCTGCAGCTCATCCTGCCAAGGAGGGGTATTTTGCTTTCTCTAGTTCATGGGCTCTGTCCTTGGGGACTGTGCAATGATACAAGCACGAAAAGCTCAGGAAGTGGAAGGGGATGTGGGCACATGTGTGGACATGAAGAGAAGCAATGAACTGCTTTGGATCACTGAGGGAAAACTCCAAACTCTGCAGTCAGGCTTCTCCAAGCCCTGTCCAACCTGGCTTTGAACAAGTCCAGAAATCCAGGGGCACCCACAGCTTCTATGAGCACCCTGTGCCAGGGCCTGCCTACCCTCACAGGAAACAATTTCTTTCTAATATCTAATTTAAACCTACTCTTTCAGTTTAAAACCATTCCTCCTTATCTTGTCTCTAACTGCCCTTGGAAATAGTCTCCCTTACAGGTTTGATTTTGTGGTTTTGAAAAATGAATCTGGGCTGTAACTGCAAAATCCAGCTGCCCCTTGAAGTAGATCCAACTAAGCAATGCACCTGGACAGGTGGAAAGTCAAGTGACCCTCGTGCTCTGTTTTCTGCAGCTTGGAGCTGATCAATAAATCCCTTGTACATACCACTGAGTCAGCCATCATTGACTGGAGCCAGCAGATCCAGAGAGTGCTGAAGAAAGAGTCCTCAGAGCCTCTCCTGCAAGGCACCAACCCAACCCCGAAGGTGGAACTGGAGTTCTGGAAGAGCAGGTGCTGGGGGAAGCTGGTGCTGCTGGTTTGGGTGGAAGGGATGCTGCTGCTGTGAGCTAAGAGCAGCTGCTCGAGGTCATGTAGAGACCTGAACCCAAAAGTATTGCTCCCAGACATAAAATAATGATGATCTCTGAGTGCCTGGACAGTTGGCTCGGTTTGGCTTGGCACCCCACAGTCCAGGGCTACACCATGAGGGAATTTTGTTGGAAATGCTGTTTCCATCACTGTTCTCTAGGAGCCAGCCTCAGAGTAGAGCTGATGGGCTTTCTCCATGCTGTCAGCTGGCTGCTGGTGGTGCCAGAGGGGGGTTACATGAGCCAGGGAGTGGAATTTCACCTGCCCTTTGTGCTGTGTTGGCTCAGGCTGACTCGAGACAGAGCCCAGCCCATGCAGTGGCTGCAGAAACACCAGCTGGCTCCTTTTGGCACAGAGAGCTGCTCTCACCTGAGCCTGGCACCAGCTGGGTCCTCTAAGGTTGGTCCCATCTCCTGCCACCATTGGGTTCAGTCCTTGTGTAACTGCAGAAAACCCCGAGTCAGGCCCAGGGCAAGCAGGGCTTTGGGTCCAGCTGGGCTGGTAACGTGTCCTGGCTGCTGCAGGTGTGCTGACCTGGAAGGCATTTACAGTCAGCTGACATCCAGGAGGGTCAGCAACATGCTGCAGGTGCTGCAGAGAGTGCAGAGCATCTACGTGCCAGCCTTCCAAAACATGCTCCTGGATGTGGAGGCAGGTGAGAAACTGGGACAGCTTTACCATGGGGCTGACTTCTGTCCTCTGTCCATGGCCTGGGCTCCCAGCTGTGCCCTCCCTGCTGGGGTGACAGGGTGGCTTTGTGGGAGGGAGGTGCTGGTAGTGAGAGTTTCTTCTTCTTTAGTCTTGAGCTTTGGGGTTATTTGCACGTGCGCTTCTGGCACTTCTGAAAAAGCTGAGACCATTGGGATTGTGCAGTCCAGAGAAGAGGTCTCTGCAGTGATCTTATTCTGGCCTTCCAGTGCTTAAAGGGGCTCCAAGAGAGCTGGAGATGGATTTTTTACAAGGGTTGGCAGTGACTGGACAAGGGCAAATGGCTTCATGCTGTAGAGGTTAGATTAGATCTCAGGAAGGAATTGTTCCCTGGGAGGGTGGGCAGGGCTGGCACAGGGTGCCCAGAGCAGCTGTGGCTGCCCCTGGATCCCTGGCAGTGCCCAAGGCCAGGCTGGACACTGGGGCTTGGAGCAGCCTGGGACAGTGGGAGGTGTAACAAGATGTGCTTTAAAGTCCCTTCCAGCCCAAATCATTCCATGGTTCTGTGATTAAATGATGATGATGATGATGATTCTCTTCACATTGGCCCATGGGTTTAGTTGCACAATGATGTCCTGGTTTTATTAAAAGGAATTAATATAATTACAATTAATTAATTATTAACTCTGGGGTAGTTCTTCAGGGTCCAACCACACAGCTAAGCTGGAGATTTCACCCAGTGAAGCACTCATGTCTGTCCTAGTGCATTCAGGACAGGTGGGACTGTGCTGCCCTCTGGGCACGGGGCTGCCAGAGCCAAAACCAGGCTCAGCTGAGCTCAGGCCCAGCCTGGTGATCCTGCAGCCCATGCAGAGCTGTGTTTTTGGTGTTGCCAGGCACTGCTTGGTTGTCGTGGCCTCAGCCTGTGCCCAGAGCCCTGTCACACCCCTGTCCCCACTCCCTGTCCCTTGCTGAGTCAGGTTGTTTGCTGTGCTGGTTAAGCTGTAGGTGAGCAGGGATCAAGGTGATTTATCTCCAGCACATGTAGGTGAGTGCTTTGTGCTCACCAGGACTGTCTGTTCCCCTTTGTGCCAGCACCCAGCTCATGACCCCCCCCATCCCAGCCCCAGGGATCTCATCCCTTCTCCCCTCTATTCCCACAGCTCTGAGCGAAGCTCAGGACATTGACCTGCACCTGACACCCCTCCAGCAGCCCCTGGAGGACATAGAGGCTGTTGAGTTCAGCAAGGTGAAGCCTCTCCTGGTCCCCCTGCTGCACGTGGTGTGTTGGATCTGGGTCACCTCCAAGCACTACAGCGTGCCTGTGAGGATCGTGGTGCTGCTCCAGGAAATCTGCAACCTTCTCATTCAGCAGGTGTGTGGCTGTGGCACCTGTGTTTGCCACGGGAAGGGTTTTATCAAAGTCTCTTCTCTCTTTCTTTCCCCTCTCCTTCCTTGGCAAAGGGATTCTGAACTGGAGAGAAAGGGTCAGAGCTGTTCAGTTTGCTGTGACAGCAGAAGGGACATCTCTGGGGTGATGTGGCTCTTCCAGGCTGTGCTGTACCTGTCTCCAGAAGACCTTCTGAAAGGAGAGATGGAAGAGAGCCTGGGCAAGGTGCAAACAGTGTTTGACATCCTGAATGCCTTCAAAGGGGCGTTTGAGGACAGAAGGGAGAACCTGCACGTGTACTATGAGCCAGGCCAGGAGGTGAGGAGGTGGCACTTCCACCCCAGGCTGGTGTTTGCAAGGCTGGACAGCTTCCTGCAGAGGCTGGAGATGGTGAAGGTGAGACTCTGGAGCTGTGAGGTGTTGTAGCCATGAACTCCCTTGCTGGCATCTCTCCATGATGCCAGGGGATGGGGCCACTCTGTGCTGTGTGGTCCCCTGACATCCCCCTGACCTTGTTTGCCCGGGTCCTGCTCAGTGCTTGTGACAGATCTGTGGGTGTGTCAGTGCTCCCAGGAGTCCTGTGGGACTCGTGCTCCTGTTGGGACAAGGGGATGGGAGCTATGGGGCTGGGAATAAACCAGGACAAGCTCCCAGGCTTCCTGTGGCCCTCAGGGACACCCTGGAGCTGGGGAGAAGCAGGGACAGGTTCCACATTCCTCACTAGGTCATGCCTTCACATCCCAGTGGTGTGCCCAGCTCGGGTGGCCCTGTTGGCTCCTCACGGTGACACAAGGCAGGGCAGGGACAGGGGGTGACATGAGAGCCATCATCCCTCAGCCCCCAGCATGGCTGAGGCTCCGTGAGCACCTGTTACACACGGTGTATTTGTCACACACTGTGTGCCTGTCACACACCCACTGTGCCTGTCACACCCACCCTGTGCCTGTCACACACCCGCTGTGCCTGTCACACACCCACCCTGTGCCTGTCACACACCCACTGTGCCTGTCACACCCACCCTGTGCCTGTCACACACCCACCCCCTGTGCCTGTCACACACCCACCGTGTGCCTGTCACACCCACCGTGTGCCTGTCACACACCCCCTGTGCCTGTCACACACCCACCCTGTGCCTGTCACACACCCACCCTGTGCCTGTCACACACCCACTGTGCCTGTCACACACCCACCCTGTGCCTGTCACACACTCACTGTGTTCACCTGGGAGCTCTCCTGTGGTTATCAGCTCCCTGCCATGCTGCTGTGTCTCTCTGAGGTGAATCTGTTTATGGATCTCTTCCCAGCTCTGTGGTCAGATGGGCACTGTGCCGGCTGCTTTTGCACTGGAACAAAAGGTTTTAGTGCTTTAACCACACTGTGTCACTCTGCTCATTCCTTAAGGAGCTGTGTTGAAAACCACAATGGATGGCATCTATTTTAAAACTGCTCATAATCATAGAATCACAAAATGGTTTGGGTTGGAAGGGACCTTAAAGATCATCTTGATCCCTGAGCCTGGCCCAGGAGCAAACATGGCTCTGTGCTGTGCTCTTGTCATCTGCTTGTGGCTGAAGCTGTGTGTGCCTCCTCTGGCTCTGCAGGATCTCCTGACCACGGCCCTGGACCTGACAGAGCTGGAGAAGATTGAGTTTGGGGGGATGAAAGGGAAGGCCCTGGGCCAGCAGGTGCTGGACATGTATGAGGAGTTCCAGGAGGGCTACCAGGTGTTCTCAGAGCGAACCTACGACTGCCTGGACCTGGCCAACGTGGTAGGTGACAGCAGCCTGTGGGAATGGCAGCAGCACATCCTCCTCTCCAGAGAGCAGCTCCAGAGCCCTGGTTCCTCCTTCCCAGCTCCCCCCTCCCTTTGTTGTGGTCACTGCAGGGAGCAGGGAGCTGCTGCCTTTTCTGCAGACACTTGGGAGTTGTTGCAGCTCCAGATCTCAGAATCACACAATGAACCAGGCTGGAAAAGACCTTTGAGATCATGGTGTCCAAACTGTGACCTAACACCTTCTCATCAACTAAACCATGGCCCTGAGTACCATATCCAGTCTGTTTTTACATGTCCAGGGACAGTGACTCCAGCACCTCCCTGGGCACACGATTCCAGTGCCCAGTCACTCTTTCAGTGAATAACTTTTTCCTGATGTCTAACCTAAATTTCGCCTGACACAGCTTAAGCCTAGCATACCTTGTTGGTTCAGAGAGTGCTTCTGTGGGTTTTTGGGGTGGTGGTGTGGTCTTTGGGGTAAGAGAGTGTGGAAACAGCCTGCCTTGCCTGCAGGCTGAAGTTAGAACTTGTTGGACTGTGGGTCCATCCTGGAGGGCCATGAGCTCAGCCATGGGATGGGACAGAAGTGTCCTTGACTCTGTGGAGGGTGGCCAGAGGAGTGTTTTAATTCCTGGTGAATGAGAGGGGGAAATGCCTGTGGGTTGGGAGGTGGCAGGCACCTCCCCAGTGCCCTCTCACAGCTCAGGCCTTGCTGTTGCCCTTCCCACAGGAGTTTGAGCAGGATGCCTTGGCCTTCCAGCAGAAGGTGCAGGACATTGACCGTCGGCTGGCCACGGTGTTCAGCCAGGCCTTCAGCCACGCCCCAGGCCTGGAGCACATCTTCAAGGTCTGTCTGTGCCTCCCTTCTCCCCCCCGAGCCCCACAGGGAGGGCAGGCAGAGCTGCAGGCAGTGGGATGGGCAGTGGGACAGGGACACTGCTGGGCTGGGCTTGGGCAGGGATGCTCAGACCTGTGGGTGCCTTGTGAGCCCTGGAGCTGGGAGTGTCCCTGCTCTTCACCTGCTGTCACAAACAGAAGAGCCCTTTGCTCAGTTTTGGCAAGAGCAGTCAAAGGAATGACTCCAGTCAGGCTTTTGGATGGCAGGAGTTTCCCTGGTGTCCCTGGGAGATGCAGGAAAAGCTGCTCTGAGTTCCAAGGCCAGGCTGGACAGGGCTTGGAGCACCCTGGTCTAATGGGAGGTGTCCCTGCCCATGACAGGGGCTGGACTGAGCTGGGCTTTAAGAGCCCTTCCAACCCAAACCATTCTGTGATTCTCTGATTTCCTGGTGAAAACTGCTAGTAAATCCAGGTGACCATTGTTAATATCAATTTGTTACTACATGGATAAATTTCAGCTCTGAAAATTGAGGTTTTCTAGAAATGAGGTGGTTTTGTTCACCAGTGAATCTATCCTGCAGAGAAAGTAAATGGTATTTCCTGAAAAAAAAAAATCAGTATAATTGTAAAAAACACTTTAAAAATGGTAAGTGATAGCATTTGTCTGAGTTGCTGTGGGTTTTTTTTTAAATAGCAAATTTTGAAGCACTTGAAGAAAGACAGTTGGAATATGGTTCACTCACAGAGAAAGTCTGAGCATTTCTGTTACAAAGACATTCTTTGTGATGTGCTTTGGTGGTGGGATTCAGTCAAAGGTATCTTGGAGTTCTTTTCAAACCTTAATGATTCCATGAAAGGGAGGAGCTGTTGGGGGAAAACCTTCCCTTGGACAAGGTGTCCATCAGTGCAGACCTTTGAGTTACTGAGGAAGATGGAGCACCTCCATCAATGAGGGAAATCCCAGTGGGACTTTGTGCAGGAGTGTGACTTTTCCCCATTTCTTCCCCTGCCCAGCTGCTGGCCATGTTCAGGAACCTTCTGGAGCGGCCAGTGATGGCTGCAGTTGCTGCTGACAAGGTCCCTGTCGTCCTCAGCATGTTCAGCACTGCCCTGGACCAGGCCAGGCTCACCTACACCAGGCACACCCAGGCAGGGCTGCAGCTCGGTGGGTGCCATGTCAGGAGGAAAACTGATTTCACAGGAAACTGGATTTAGACTGATTTAGGGGGGGAAATAATTTGCTTTTGCTAAGGAAACCAGAACTTCCCAAATTGCAAAGATTTTCAGCTTCTATAGTTCCTAGTGGGAAATGCCTGGGAATGCTCTGTTGTTGGCATTAAAGCAATGCCAATATCCTTGTTCTAAATGTGCATGGGTGAGATGTGGCTGGGATTGAAGGCACATGCTGAGCTTTTCCCTTGTGATGCTGTAAATACAAGAGGGAGGTGGGATTTGGGGGTTTGATCAGCCTTTTCTGGGGTTATTATTTCCTGGGAGTGCTGGTACAGAAGGGAATAGGTAAAGTCCTGTCAGATTATGAGGATTAGCGTGCCTTGTTGAACAGCAGCCTCAGGAAGGCTGTTCTGGAAGCAGACAAGTTCCAGGAGAGGCAGCACTGCTGGAACCAGTGCAGGTTAGCAAAGGGAAAGGGGAGATTCATGGAGGACGAGCCCAGCATTTGCTGTGACTTGGGGGAATGTTGTTCTGTGCCTCTGAGATGGGATGGTCACAACCAGCTCCCAGCCAGAAATCCCTTCCTCAGTGTCTGTGGGAAGCAGAGAATTCACCCCAGTCTGGCTCCAGGACGTGCCAGGCTTCTCCTCTGTTCCATTTTTCCAATGCAGAGGCACAGGGGGATTTGTGGGTCCCAGCCCTACATGGTTGGCAGGGGTTGGGTTCAGGGCAGCAGCCTGGACACCAGGGCAGTTCTGCTGAGGGGTGGCAGGGCTGATGCAAAGCTGTGCCCTGTGCCCTGCAGGGTTCCCCCCCCTGCACAAGAATGCCCCTCCCGTGGCTGGAGCACTGGGCTGGGCACGGGAGCTGCAGGCAAGGATCCAGAGACCCTTGGAGCACCTGAGGAGCATCCCATGGCTGTGAGTGTCTGCCTTGTGACCACCTGGAAATCTCTCTAGTCAGTCTTGAGACATTCCTCTCCAATGGCTGTACCCAACCAGCCCTTAGTGAAGAGGTCAGAAGTGGGGGCTCTGGAGCCTTTCACTCCCTGCCATCTTTGGTTTTTAAAGCAGCTCTTTAATTGGACTGGTTTTGATGTGATTGAGAGGCACAGTGGGATAGCAGATAGGCTGGTCAGCTTTTAACAAGCCCTAGGTTGCAATTGAAATAGGTATTGCAACCTTTCCCACTGTAATTCCTCTGAGCAGGGTCTCCAGGAGCTCTTTGGGAGCAGCCCAGCTCTTGGGTATTGGCATAAGATAACTTTCTCAGCATTAAACAGAGGAACAATTACCCAAGATCAAGAAAACAAACCAGGGCTGGAATTCTCATGGTCCCTGCATTTAACATTGATTTTATCCCTCTGTTTAGAGCAGTTAAGGACAAGTCTTTCAGCAGAGTGATGTGAGGCTCTTTTCCATGTGCAACTTGAGAGGGAGAAAGGACTGAAAAGGAAAAATGAAGATATGTGTATATATAGCTATACATTATGTATTATATATATGATCTATATAATGTTTGTTATTGCATATATTTTATATTTTTTTCTATACATTATATAAATAATCATTCACACAGCTGTGACCTGCATCTAGTGGAGCACAAGTGTGACAGAAAACTGTCAAGGGAAAAATGTTTAAAAGTGATGTTTGGTAACTGGTTTTTCCAGCAGCCCTGGGTCCATCTCCTGTCCCAGCTGCTGGTCCCCATTTTACAGCATGGAAACACCTGAGAGAGCACAGGGGGCTGGGCAGCCTTTGTGCAGGGAGGGGATTTGGGGTGAAATCCAAGCAGACTGTGCCTGCAGACTGTGGGGGGAACTTGGGAAGGGGGAAATGCAGAGCTGAGCCCCCAGAACTGAAGGGGATCCCTGTGTGTTGTGCTGCCAGGAGCTTGGACTCTGCCCGTGGAAGAAGGGTGCTGCAGAAATATGAAGAAATGATCCAGCTGCTCGACAGGTACAGGGGGCTCAGGCAGGGCTTAGCTGAGGAAACATTCCCCTCCCTAAGCCACCTCCCAGAACATTTGGCAGCCCGGAGCGTGGCAATGTCCCTTTCTAAGCCCAAAGGAATTTCCTGCTGGGAGAGGAGCAGGGAGCTCCTCTGACTACCACAGGTTTGCTGGGATGGCTTCAGAGGAGAATCCTGCAGGGGAGGCACAGGGGCTCTGCAGCCCAGCAGGAACATCACAGGAAGCTGCTGTGGGCTGGAGGAGCTGCTCTGGGCTGGGCTAAGTCCCAGTTCTGTCACTGGCTGTGTTTGCAGTGGATGTAATGTGGATATTCCACAGCCGGGGCTGGGAGTCACTGCCCAGGACTTGGCATCTCAATGTTTGATGTTACACCTGATTGCTCTGGGCTGGCTCTTGAGAGAAACCCCCAGGGAGGAGATCCCTGCAGGGCCCTGCTCCCCATCCCCAGTGAAGGGAGCTGGGAGCCCGGGCTGCTGGCTGGGTGGAGAGAGCCTGGTTCCCATCACCAGAACAAGGCTGGACAGTTCAGCACAGCCTTTCAGAGAGGAGCTCCCAGGCTATCAATCTGATAAATTGGGCTCCTCTCAGCCCCAGCAGTGCTGCCTTTAGATCACTGCCCTGCAGCTTTGCAGCACACCTGCTCCATTCCCTGCTCCTGACAGCCCACCTGGGACCAGCACAGCACACTGCTCCTCCCCAGGCTCCGGGGGGAGCAGCAGGTTTCATGCCCTCTCAGAAGATTGGGATAAATAAGAATGAAACCCATAAAAATAACACTCAGGCCCTCTAAAACCTCCTTCAGAGCTTCCCTTCATGCTCCCTCCTACCCAAGCTGAGATGTCCATGCCAAAGCCATGCTGTGATTCCCACATCCTGCAGCCCTCAGGGTTCAGGGAATGCAGCTGCTGAGAAAGCCCAGGCACCCTCACAGGACAAGGAGCCAAACTGCTCTGGAGGAGCCAAAGGGGCATTTTTGTCTCTCAGTACTGATTTCCCGTGTTCTCAAACTCGCTGTCACACCTGCAGGTGCTCTGCACTGTGTCTATCACAACCCACATGCCATTCATCATTGCCCAGTTTGCACCCCACAGATGGTGTGGGGTGAGCACCTGGAGCTGCTGTCTCCTGGTGCCTCTCCCCAGAGGCTCAGGTGACAACGTGATTCAGAACACACTTTGTCACTGGGGAGCTTGGCACTGTCCATGACATGTGAGGTGCCAGGACCCCTTTTCTGCCCCCTGTGCTGCCATGGTCTCACTCAGACAGGTGGGGTCAGCTTCAGCCACCCCAGCATCCCTGTGCCTTTAGGCATCTGTTCTGCTTAGACCTTTGGGAACCCCCAGCTGCTGATATATCACATTAGGGCAAATGCTTTGGAAAGTCCATCTCCAAATTGGAATTCCCTGCTAAAACTGGAACTGAGAGAGCTTTGCCCTCCGGACTTGCTGGTTTTGGGTGTTTTTGGAAGCACTGTTGTTTGTGGAGGTGGCATGGATGGGTTTTGAACTTTCCTTCAGGTTCTTCAGTCCTCAGAGTGGACTTGGCTTCCACTCAGTTACAGCTGCACTCTCTGGCTTGGTAACTACAACGTGGATGTTTCTCATTTCTGGCAGGTATCAGGAAAAGGTGTATTTAGACTGGTCCCAGACAGTCTCAGAAAAATCCCAGTACAACCTCACCCAGCCTCTCCTCCGGCGAGATCCACAGACCAAACTGCTCACGGTCAATTTTGATCCCCAGGTAAGAGCTGCTGGCCCTGGGCTCTCCTGTCCCCCAGGGCATGTCCCCAGGCTATGGGGGACATCTGGTGGGGTTGGCACTGGGTCTCTTTGGTCCGTGGAACCCCTGCCATGGGGGTAACAAGGATCTACCATAGATCTGCTCTGAGCAGAGCAAATTCTGCTTAAAGCCAGTGGCAGGAAGTCCCTCAGGAGCCAGATGTGTAACTGGTGTCAGCATGTCCAGAGCAGGGTTGATACTGGAGTGGAGAGTGATGGGACATCATCTACAGATGCACATTCATGCTGTGTGTACCTAAAACATGAGATTCTGAAACGGTGTAAAAAACTCAGGGAAGGTTTGTTTTGTGACTCCAGGAATCTTTGATGGAAGGTGGCACCAGAAGGAGTTGAGTCAGTGGGTTTGAAGCCATGGTGCTATTTTTTAGTTATTTTTTATGCCAATCAGCCCAGCAAACCAAGAGAACTGGAGCCATCTTATCTTTCACTTTGATAATGGCCATTGGCACTTGCAGGAACAGCATTGCTGAGACTTGTGGTGTGGCTCAGCCTCCACCTGAGAGGGGATGCACATGGGTGGGGATGGCTGAGAGGACCAGAGACGATGGTGGCTTTTAGAGGCTGGCTGGTGCTTCAGAGCTGGGAGGAAATCCAGAGTCAGGGATCAATGGGAACAGATGGCACAGAGCAGGAGCTCTCCAGGCCCTTTGCAGTCTGGGAATAAACCAGCAGGAAGGCCCTGTGGTGCTCAGAAGGGCTTTGAGGGGATGCCAGGAGCTGGAGGGCTGTGCTGTGCTCAGCTCTGTGCTTTGCCTCCCCAGCTGGTGTCCGTGCTGAGGGAGGTGAGCTACCTGTGGGGCAGCGGGGCAGGAGCCATCCCCCCAGCAGCAGCTGACATCTACTCCTGCAAGGAATCCTTCCAGCAGCTGGTGGCCAGCCTGGAGCTCATGGGGAACAGGTACAACAAGGTCCTGAGGACAGTGCTGGAGGTGGAATATCCTCTGGTGCAGGGGCAGCTGCAGGACATCGACTTGAAGCTGAGAGAGGCAGAAGAAACGCTGACGTGGAAGATGGAGGGTGAGCTGGCTGTGTGACACCTGGCTCTCCCCACATTCCCAGTCTCTGCTCCCTGGTTCCCAGTGGCAGCTCCCAGCAGCACAGGGAACTCTCTGGCATGTCCAGCACTGGGGAGATGAGGAGCAGCTCCCAGTGCCTGTTCCTTTCCACATTCCCTTGATCCACCAGGGCTGTGGACAGGATCCCCCTCCCCTCAGGTTTAGCCCAGGCTCTGGGGAGGAGAGGTTCTGGTGGTCCCTGCTGTGGCTTGTTGGTAGGAGAGAGGTAGAGGTGGCTCTGCTGCTTGAGGTGGTGAATCTCATACTTTAAGGATGACTGAGAAATACGTGAGACCACGGGGAGAAGGTCTGGAGGAGAGAACACCAGAGCTTGGCCCAGCAGCTCTGAAAATAGGGGATCAATAATTTCATTTTCCCCAGGTGTCTGGGCTCACATCTCCGGGGTGATGGATGATGTGTGTGATCTGGAGCAGAGGGTGCAGCAAGCCAAGGACAACGTTGAGGAGATCCACAGCATCGTGCAGTCGTGGCGGTCACCCGTATTTGAGAGGAGGGATTCCAAAAAGGACTCAGTGCTGAGCCTGGAGGAGTGCCAGGAGTGCCTGGAACGGCGCTACAGCCTGGTCAGGGAGTCTGGGCACAGGATCCACTCCCTGCTGAAGGTGAGGGGGCACCTTCAGGGCTGGGTGGCTCCTCAGGGGCTCCACATTGTCCCTGCAGCTCTGAAAATGTCCAATGCTTTAAATGAACTCCCTGGAGCCAAACCCGAGCCGGTGTTAACTGATGATGTCTCAGAGGGCTGAGCTGGAAGGGGGGTGTGGGGCTGGCTGGGCTCCCAGCCCAGGGCAGGGTCTGGCTGCAGCCCTGGCTGCTGGAGAGCCACTAGAGGGGAGTGGTGCATCGGGTTTGGGATCCTGCTCCAAGGAAAAATCCCCTCGGAAGTGTTTACCCGAGAACAGAGGCTGGGGCTGACCCTTCGGTTTCAGGCTTGATGTCCCTCTGGGGAGCAGGAGATGATGATCACCACCCAGGGAGAAGCTGAGTGACAGGAGAAGATGTGCTGTCCCAAACCTTGGTGTTTCCCAGCAGTTTTGCCAGAGCTCAGAGTCCTCTGCAGGCCAGGAAAAGACCCAGGGCTCTGCTCCTCACCTGCCTGGAGCCAGGTGTTGTTCATGTCAGGGACAGCTCCTGGCCTGGAGGAAGATGGGTTATAGCCCCAGCCCTCTCCCGAGGGTCCCTGTCTGGCCTTGGACTCTAAAGAGAACCAGATGGGTTCATCAGGATGGGCCTTTGAGACCCCCAGTTCCCCCTGCCCCAGGGGCAGCCCCAAGTCCCCTGGCCTCAGAGAAGAGGGAGAACACGTGGAAGACATTCTAAGGCTCTTCTGCACTCCATTTTCACCTTGAAGTGTTCCTGGAGACCAAGCAGCCCTGACCCCAGGAGGAAGATCCACCTCCACAAGGCTGACACTCCTGTGCTGCCCAGCATCAGCCCTGGGCTGTGGGCAGCTCTCTTCAGGACAGGCTCAGCCCTGTCGTGTGTGAAGGAATCTTCTTTGTCTTCCAGGAAAACCAGAGCCTCCTACTTGCAGACCCAGCCTCTGATGCCTGGAAGGTGTATTTGGATTATGTGGATGAGATAGTCCTGGATGGATTCTTCACTGCCATTGAGTGCTCACTCAAGTACCTCCTGGAGAACACAGGTGACACCTGGTTGCTGTCCCCTGGCTGCAGTGGCTGCTCAGCCTCTCCAAGGGCACATCTCTGCTCGTGCTCCCTCATCCTCCATGGGTGTTCTCTTCTTCCTGGCTTTCCTCTGGCACTGGAGCCTCCAGAAGGGGAGGGTGACTCCATCACTGCTCCTGGATTGCTCAGGGGGAGGGATGGAGGTGACTGTGCACGCTCTGCAAGGGTTAATGGAGGGAGACACTTGAGGCTTCCTCCCACATCTGTGCCTGGACATCAGGCACCTCCCACCCTCCCATGCCCAAAGCAGCAGCCTGGCACCATCTTCCCTCTGTGGGGAGTCTCAAGAGCCAGTTCTGCTCCTGAAAGGCACAAACCAGAGCCCTCAGTCCCTGAGCATTAGTCCTGGGCAGAGGTGAGCTGGGTTCAGGAGACACCAGCCCAGCCCTCCTTGCTCTGCTGAGAGCAGCTTGTGTGCAGCTAGAGCACATCTCCAGGAATGCTTCCCTTCTGGATGTGGAGGCACAATGAGCTGGAGAATTGCATGCAGTTCTTCACCAGCTTGTTAAAAACTTGCATATGTTGTCACATTTGCATCTGATTTCAGTTTCTGGTTGCTGTTTGGGTTTTTTGTTGGTTTTTTTTTTTGTTTTTTTGTTTTTTTCATGCCTTTCACCACTAAATTAAAGAGCCACTTGATTCCTGTTGTTTTTCTCCTGTGCAAGCACTTCCATGCTGGCATTGCTCAGCTCTCAGACTCCCTCTGCATTAGCTGAAGAGCCTGGTCTCTTCAAGCCTTTCCTCCTCAAGATGTTTTCTGGTCCTTAAATCACTTTTGTCTCATCTGTTCCCCACTGTCTTTGGTGGGTACCACAGCACAGCTGGTTTGCCAACACCTCCATGGCTTGTGCAGACACCAGTGAGTGTCTGCCACCACACCCTCCTGCTGTCCCTGCAGGGCATGTGGCATCTCGTCATAGGATATTAGTGGTGGCTCAAGACTCCTTGAAAAAGCAGATCCTGACATCTCTGTTCTTCCCTCCCAGACCCCAAGGCAGGGCTCGCTCCCCTGTTTGAGGTGCAGCTGGATTTGGTGATCCCAGATTTGGTGTTTCACCCTCCCTTGGACCCTGGCACCAACGATGGCTTCTGTGACATGGTGGAAAATCTTCTCCAGGGCATCTTCCACATCTCCTCGCTGGTGCCCCGGCTGGCCACGCACAGCGGCCTCTGCCACTACCAGGTCTGTGCTCTGGGGCTTGCCAGGCTGGGCAGTGAGGAGGTGCCCTGTGCTGCCACATCACTGAGCTCTGCTCTCTCCCCTCCCTTCTTCTCTCCTTTCTCTCTCTCTCTCCTT